AGGTCCTCGTTGTACACGACCTGCGAGCGCTTGTCGCGGTGGGAGCCCTTGGCGCTGTTCTTCACCGCTGGGGGGGGATAAAAGGGGAGTCAGGGATGTTGTGGGACCCCCCGAGCACCCCAGGGACCCCCTGAGTGCCCCAGGGACCCCCGGGCCGCCCCCCAGACTCACCCAGGGACCCCCAGAGCGACTTCCCGGTGGCGGCGTCGAGCAGGGGCTGCTTGCGGGCGATGCTGACCTTGAGCTGCACGTCCTGCACCACGGCCCCGTTCAGCTGGGGGGGGCACGGGGGGGTCAGGGCGAGCACAGGGACCCCCAGAGACCCCCAGAGACCCCCCCAGGCCACCCCCAAAGCCCTCAAACCTCGGCGATGGCCTGGTCGGCCGATTCCATCTTCTCGTAGGTGACGAAGGCGCAGCTGAAGGGGGGGAGAAAGGGGCAGGGGGTGGGTGGGTGGGGTCAGGTCTGGCCACGCCCACACCTGTGTTGGTCGCTCCCACAAGCTTTAGCCCCACCTACAAATGGCCCCACCCACTTTTGGCCCCACCCCAAGCTCTCGGCCCCACCCACCATTAGCACCACCCCTAATTATTCACCCCCACCACTCCTAATTCTAATTATTCACCCCACCCACAAGCCAGGGCCACACCCACACTCAGCCACACCCACAAACCACAGCCCCACCCACAAATTACCCCCAACCACGACCTGTGACCCCACCCACCTTTAGCCCCACCCCAAACTCTCAGCCTCCCCCCTTTTAGTCCCACCCCTCATTCTTGGCCCCGCCCATGCCTGTAGCACCACCCATTCACACCCACATTTAACCCCACCCACAACTCACAGCCCCACTCTCAAACAACCCCACCCACTTTTAACCCCACCCCAAATTCTCAGTCCTGCCCCCCTTAAATCCCACCCCTCATTCTTGGCCCCGCCCACACCTGCAGCCTCACCCACATCACTCAACCACACCCATATTTAGCCACACCCACAATTTGCAGCTCCACCCACAAACAGCCCCACCCCCTTTTAACCCCACCCCAACCTCCCAGCCCTGTCCCACCCCTCAGCAATTGTCCCCACCCACATTTTACCCCACCCACAACCCACAGCCCCGCCCACAAACTACCCCACCCATCTTTAGCCCCACCCACTTCCTGGGCGTGTCCATGGAGAGGTCGATGATGGCCCCGAAGGGCCCGAAGGCCCCTCGCAGCAGCTCCGGGCTCAGCTCGGCCCCGTGCACGTACAGAGTGTTCCCCTTGCGGGGGGGGCGGCGCTCGGGGAACGAGTCCGACCCTGGGGTGGGGGGCACAGAGGGGGGTCAGGGGCGCCCCAAAACCCGGGACACCCCCAGGAACCCCCCAGGAGCCTGAAATGTGGGGTGCACAGCCAGGATACCCCCCAAAGAGACCACCCTGGGCACCCCATTATTCACACTCACACCCCCCCCAGATGCCCCCATGGGGACTCAGACCCCCCCTCGGCACCCCGGGGCCCCCCCCCCCCCCCCCCCTGGGGCCCCCCCCCCGGCCCAAGGGGGGCCATAATCGCAACCTCCCCTGGGTTTTGGGGACCCCTGTGCTCCAGAAGGCCCCGTCCCGCTCCCAGGAGTCTCCCAGGATCTCCTCCCCCCACCAGGTTTTGGGGTCCCCCCTCAGGTTTTGGTGTCTCCCCACACTCTGGAAGGCCCCATCACACTTCCAGGCCCCCCTTCCATGTTCTGGGGTTCCCCCCAGGTTTTGGGGTCGTCCCTATCCCGTTCCCAGACACCCCTCCCACAGGTTTTAGGATCCCCCAATACTCTGGAAGACCCCATCCTGTTCCGAGACACCCCTCCCAGGTTTTGGGGTCCCCCTCAGGTTTTGGGGTCCCCCCATACTCCAGAAGGCCCCGTCCCGATCCCAGGTCACTCCCCCCCAGGTTTTGGGGTCCCCCCATACTCCGGAAGGCCCCGTCCCATTCCCAGACACCCTGCCCAGGTTTTGGGGTCACTCCCAGGTTTTGGGGTCCCCCCCCAGGTTTTGGGGTCCCCCCATACTCCGGAAGGCCCCGTCCC